TCAATAAAAAAAACAATTTATGTCAACCTCATACTTTAGTTTACCTAACCGAGTTCTTTAATTTTAATTTCTCAAAAACTACTTGTCGGGAAATAAAGAGGTTTTTGTATACAATAATTAAAATTTTATAACGTTGGTACGTTTGTTCAGAGGAACACAGTATCATTGGAAACAAAATATTAAAAAATAGTTTTAAAAACAAAGAAAATAAACGTTTTATTGACTGAATAATAGTTTATTTAATTAAAACTAATAATTTATGTTATGAAAACAAAATATTTAACGAATCTATAGTGACTTAAAGTTAACACGATAAACAGATGTTTTTTCTGTCAAAAACCCATCATAACTTGAGCATATCTAAAGAATCTACTTTTTAAAAATAAATAAATTAAATCATGTCAGATAATTATAATTAATCTTACTTTCTACCAATTTTAAATAATATTAAAGTCGCCTTCTCCCAATTTAAAACCCGATTGGTTCATGCAACTTACAGTAAATATTGAAATCGGACAATTACTGATACCTAACAATGTGAATAATCTGTTAATTATTCCCGTTGTAAGGCGGGGCGGTTATAATTTTTATTATTATATAAGAAAAAAACAATATTACAATATTATGTAATAGGAGTGGATAGGAATTGAAGGGGTTAGAATAAAAAGGGTATAAGTAACATTTTCATTGTTTGGAGATATTTGAAGTTAAAGTTATGTTACCATAAAAAAGTGAAGAATTTTGTTTAGTAATGTTTTTCTACTGGATAATAGAGGTCGCTAGAAGTATGAAAATTACTTAAATCCTTTTCATTTCGATACGTCGGGACCTTATCTTTCACAAAACGAACTTATCTCCTAAATTAAAGAAATTGCACTTATACCCTTTCTATTCTAACCCCTTCAATTATTGTGCAAAGGTGAATAGGAATTATTGTAAACATTTCTGTATTTTTTATTTCTTTATGATGTCCTCAATATGCTAAATTAAAAAAAATCATAAAAACCTTTTAAATTTCCTAAATTATTCAAAAAAACTCTCTGGGACACTTATTTCTTTTAACCGATTAACCCCAAATTTTGCAGGAATATCTTAATTTTAATTCAAAAAAGATTTTGGGGTGCATGCATAGAAAAACAATTAAAGGTGAGACCTTTTATTTTCGTAACGTAAACGTTTACCTATTTTTTGTTTATTTACAATTACGTAGTCCTATATGTACATTTAAGGCTTTTTAACGTTGTTTTTGTTTTAACTTAATATCTCTAAAACCCAAGACGCATACATCTAAATATCAATAATCAATAAAACAATACATTTAAAAAATTAATGAATACACCTACCTGTTAGGAAACAATAAATAATTTTTATATCAAATTTTTAGAATTAAATTTGATCATTTTATATAACAAATTTCAAAAGTTTCGATCGACTTATTAAAAATTTCACACGATAAAAAGTTTTGATTACATAAGCGGTTTAAAATCTCGATTATTTAAAAATCGAAAAAATCGCTGTTTTGCTTATCACTGGTGCCTTTTTTTAAATTAAAGATACGTAATGGCAACTAAGATTAATCCTTATTATTTTCAATTAATAATACAACCATGTATCTATTTTCTATATTACAAATCTCCCTTTATGAAGATTATTATTAGAATGAATTCGACTCATTTGTTACCGGCAAGCCAAAATCGTATCTTTTGACAGAACAAGTCACACATAAATCTTGCACATTTGTAATTATGACCTCAAGTGCGTTTGATTTATGAAGAGTCTGATGAGTAGATTCCAATGATTTATGTGAGAATGTTACGTATATAAATTAGAAAACAGATTAAAACTATTTTATGCAGAAGCGAAATTATTTATTATGATCCGCTATTTACTTTCATATATGAATCAATGGCTCAGTCATCACAGCCTAGCCTTTAGAAATGGATGTGAGAATTTAATAGAATAGAAATTCTTTCAGGACGTGAGCATTTTTTGCTTCAAAAAAAATGTTGATGTGCCTTACACCATTTAAGTAAAACAAGATTATAGGAATTAAGTTTTAGAATAATGATAAGGGTTGTGTTGCCATATAAATGATATACATATTTTATTATGTATTTTCTGTTACAATTTTAGTAAAAATCCCAGTTACTGACTAGTTTGTAATTTTTAAAAATATTGAGAATTTTTTAAAATTTTGAAAACATAAAAAATATTAAAAAATTTGTAAAATTTTCAACCACATTTCATTTGATACCCATATCAAGGAGGTTGATATTGGATTGATCTTATTTCCATCTCTCTCGTACTTACAACTCAAGAAGACTAAGTCTTGGCACAGTCACTTTATGCTCTTCTGATCCTTTAAATCGTTTAAAACCTAGCATCGATTTTTTATTTTTGGCGCAAAATAATATAAGCATGAAATTGTGAAGGTTACAACCTTCACAATTTCATGCTTTCCCGTTTTTATTGCAAAGCACGCACACATCAACGTGACGTCATGCTCTCCTGATCCTTGCGAAAGTATATTTTCCGTGACATATTTTTTGGACTTACACCTCGCTAAAGAAGTTTTACTTCAATAAATGTCTAGCGTAAGTTTAGCATTTTTGCGAGTTGCTGCAACGTAAATCTGCATTCAATTTATTGAAGCAATTTCCCGAAATATCCCCTATTTAAATAAATGTAAAACTCGGCGTATTTTGCCAATACTTTTTTAGAAATAAAATATTCAACAGATGTTAAAAATAAAAAGTTAAGAAAAATTAAATTGTTGTTCTTGTATAATAATGTAACAAATAACAAAACAAAACATCCATAAATAATTATAATTTAAATTAGCTCAATAATATAAAATTTTGATAGGTAGTAGTAAATTTGTAAAACCAATTTATGTTTTATAAGGGAGTGTGTGTAAAAACATATTGTATCTAACAGCAATAAAAGAGGTTTTATGATATAAACTGAAACTTGATTTAAAATAGGGTCGCGATGAATTATTGCCCTACTGTGTAAAATTCCTGTTAAAAATGTAACTCAATGTTAAAAAAGTGTGCATTACCCATGGGAAATAATTTAACCACACAATTATTCTTACATTTGCCGCATACAAAATAGGACATTTTTTGTTTATTTTTTGGGTTGCGGAATTTACTGTTTAATTTAATTTAAAAAAGGATTTTAAATACTCTCTTTTTCTTGTTACACCTTACACAAACGTATAGGTTTTTAAAATATTATCATGTAGTTAGAGTTAAACAATTATTAATTGTTTCGACCTTTACTTGATGAAACTCTATATTAACTATGAAAATATTAGTCCTGGAGCATAAAGCAATAAAATATTCTCCGTGGGATTTTTTATGAAGGGATGATGGGACTATATGGGATTGCTTTTTTATACCTTTTTGAGGTGTGTGGTACCGGGTGTTTACCTTGAAAATATGTCTGGTGGTGTTTATGGCATTTCTAATCCATAATGTCTACCATTTTCGACATTCATTTATAAAATGCCAAAAAATTAATTTTATTGTGATTGAAATAAATTACATTTGACATTTTTTCATTGTCATATGACCGTGTATCGAAACAATAGTATAATTTGATGGGCCATCAATTTTTTAGCCTCTAGCAACAGTGACTTTTTTGAAATAAAACTGTTTTAGCAAATTTAAATAGTTTCATTGGTTGCTTATAAATTAAGTGTGCCTTGACTTTATCAATTTATGTTTAAATAGAACTGTCAAAAGTATTTTACGAGTTTAATACTTATTGCTGTTTTTCTTAATTTAAGGTATGTTTTTGTGTTTAAATTTAATTTTAAATAGTATTTTATTGGATTTAAAAGCATTTTTAATTTCTAAATACTTAATTTTAACAGTTTTCTTTTAAAATATTTTTTCTACTCCTATTACGGAATATGACCGTTCTTATATCACTTTTTAAGGTGGAATTACATATATTCCTTAGAATGTTACAGAATGAATTATTCTATCATCGGATGACGGAATAAACACTGGTGGCGACATCTCTGTGTTAAACACAGTGTGTTTAATATCTAACAAATTTTAGAGAAATCCAACCTCACTTTTTCCCAATTAAATTATTTGTCCATGGTATTTTTTGGAAACGTAGAAAAAGTATACTTTGAAATACGTTTGGATTTGCATATTCCGCTCTCGTGAAACCGTCAAACTCGCCTTTGGCTCGTTTGACAAACTTTTCACTCGAGCGGAATATGCCGTATTTCAAACTTGTTACATAATATACTATACTGTTACCAATTACCATTTCCTGTTAATTATAATTTATTACACTAGTTTACAAGAAAAAAATAGAAACTTTATTTTTTAGGGCGATTTTGGTGCGCTGAAAAAAAACTTAATTATTTTTTTCTTATTTGGGCCATTCACCTAGATGACGGTATATTTTTGTTTTTAAATTTAAGATTTTACTTAAATTAGCATCGAGAGGTTATGGCAAATCCGATATATGCCAAATCCGATACATGGTTTGAAAGGTGGTTAAATTTCGCATCCAACAGTAATCGAATTAAAATTAGCTAAGTTACAGCTCATAAAAGTTAAAATTTCTTGAAAAATGGCTTAAAATCGTCAAAAATTGCATGGAACTTAAACTTTGATCGGCTATAACTCATTTTTCGGCTTTCGCATTTCGCTTTTTTTTTATTTGATCGAAACTAATTGGGCACCGTTAAACGCTTAATGTAATCACTTTTCTAATGATATATAACTCATCTCGATCAGTCTTGCCGTTGTTTAAGTAAAACAAAAACTATCTATTCAAATGAGAAAACCATTAGTATGGTTTTCGTACTCAGCGCATTCAAATTGCCCAAAAAAAAGTAAGAGAAAGTTTCTGTCTTTTTAAAATTAAAATTTTATTTTTTTATTCGCCTACTAAACTTATATTTTTTTCTTGGGGGCTTTGTAACTGCTGATTTTAAAAAATAAATAAAATTAATTATTTTAGCTGAAACCATGTCTGATCATATTCGAAGTTGTCTACAATTGGAGTTGCCTCCATCTGTAAAAAAACGACGCCTTAATACGAATTATGAATTGTGTATATTGTGCCAAATTAGTACCAAGTCGCCTTTGGTTAATCCACAAAACTATGAAAATCTACTAGAATGTTTAAAAAAAAGAGACGAATGGTTGGATCCTTTATATGTCAATATTTGTCGACGTCTTGGCAATATCAGTGCTGAGGAGTTAAAACAACATAATGCAAAATGGCACAAAGAATGTTACAAAAGTTGTACGCATAAGAACAACATGAGCCGAATTAAAAAAAAATTTGAAGAAGGAAAAAAAGGTACATGTCAGGAGGAAGAAGAACCATCTACTAGCTATCCCGGGACAACATATACATTAAGGTCAAAAATACCTATTTATGACAAAAACCAATGCTTCTTTTGCGGACAGGGTATAAAAACCAGAAGCCCATTATATTGCATGGAAACAAGCGCAAGTGAAGCGCGTCTAAGGTTGGCAGTACAATTATCAAACAATGAAATATTTAAAGTACGCCTAGGTGATTGCGTAAATCCAGGAGATGCTCTCGCAAAGAAAATCAAGTACCATAAACACTGTTGGAACAAATATGTTGTAAATGTACTAAGACCCAAATATCAACCAAAATATGAAATGTTAACTGTTCACGAGCATGCCACTGATGTAGAATTTATATCCACTGTAAGTAACTTTTTGCATGAAGGTAAAGTAACAACTATGGCTGATATCGAAGAAGTTTACCTTAACATAGCAATAAACAACGGTATGGACCAAAAAAAAATAAAGTCTCGAAAGCAAATTAAAAAGCTTATAGAAGAGGAACTGGAAAGCGTTGGTGTATTTTTTAGTAACCCAAAAAGAGTCAATGAACCTCAGCGTGTAACACTGAAAGTTACAGCCGACATAAGTCTCGCCACTGCAGAAGATTCATTTGAAGATTTAGACAAAGACATGAAAATTCTTTTTGGTGCAGCTAAAATACTACGAGCACTTGTAATGAAAAGTAAAAAATGGACATTTGATGGTTCTATCCAGAAAGTTGACATGACAGAAGTTATTCCAGAGCAGGTGTATCACTTTTTTAAGTGGTGCATTGATGGTCAATTGGATATGAATTATAAAATAAGCCGGGAAGTCAAAACATCAGCCAAGGCTAAAAGAATATCTCAGGTGTTTATGTACGAAATGTTGTCGCCTCGCCAAGCATCAGAAGCTAATAATAAAAATGTTCGACATACTAGGGATATGCCGTTGCAGGTAGCTGTAGGACTTACAGTTCATTCGGAAACTAGAAGTAAATTTCTTATACAGTTTCTTCACAACTTGGGAACTTCTGTTGAGTATAATAAAGTATTGCGAATTGAGACCCAAATAGCAAATGAGGTTATTAAACGTATGGAAGCTAACGAAGGTAGATACATTCCACCAGACCTAGTAAAGGGTAGATTTGTATTCTGTGCAGCTGATAATATTGACTTTCAAGAGGATACTCCCTATGGCAAGGGTACTCTTCACGGGACCATAATGGTTGTTTACCAAGAAGAGATTAAAACAGATGTTCCAGATTTCATTGTTCTTTCAGAGCCTGCGACACGACGTTCACTTCAAACTATTCCAAACTCTATTGCTGAGCTTTCAAATATCAGCGTCTCTAATTGTAAAAATAATGCAATTTATAATATTCAATCAACGGTTAATAATAAGAAGCAGACAAAACAACTGCTAGATTCAAACATGCTGGAGGATTTAGTGTGGATGATGATGCAGGTTATCAATATTAAAGAGTCTAAGGATATTACAGAATCTCCGGTTGGTAGTAACTTTTACCTGGATGACAAATGTAATCTTTCCGAAGGTAACGAAATGAATTTAAGAAATTCTTTAGTTCCAACGTGGTCTGCTTATAATTCCCTGGTGAATATGCCTCTTCAAAAAATGCGGACTTGTATACTTCCTATTATAGACAGTACCCCAACATCTACTGCGGCGCAAGTTACATGTATGAAGAAGCTAGAAGGTATAACAAATGATATTGTGGGCCCAGATTCTAAAACTGTAGTCACTTTTGACCTTGGACTTTATAAACCAGTTTGTCAGTTAGCAATGGCCAACAAAAATCTTGCCAAAAACTGGGTACTTAGGCCTGGCGAACTGCACACAGTAATGGCAATGCTACGAGCAATAGGTATATTTGTAGATGGTACTGGGATTGAATGTGCCTTATCTGATTTATATAGTGAAACAGTATTATCCCAGATCCTTGGAGGAAAACATGTAAGAAGGGGAATTGCAGCTCACACTACTTTAACAACTGCTCTCTTCAAGTGCTACATTGACTTATTTCTTTTACAACACGAAGAGTTAAAAAAACAATGGAACAAACAAGTTAAAAAACTAATTACAGTCCTGCAAACAGACAACATTGAAGAAATTAATTCGGTGCACAGAGAAACTCTATTATTGCAAACTAAATTTGAAGTCCTGTCAAAGTTGGAGGAGTTTGATCAAGTTCAGGGAGACTTAAAACCTACTTTTAAAGTAGCCCGGCAATACATGAAAATGGTCCAGACTATGCTACTTTATATAAGATCAGTAAGAACTGGAAACTGGGAACTACATCTAGCTTCTTTAGAACATTTTGTTCAATACTTTTTTGCTCTCAATTTAAGAAACTATGCTAGTATGGTTACTTGGTATTTATCTGAAATTAAGCAGCTAGAAAACACAGATCCTGACCTTTGGGCTCAATTTATGAGAGGAAACTGGGTTGTAAACAACAGTGATACACCATTTTGTGCTCTAGGAACAGACGAGGCTTTGGAACAAGAAAATAGGAGAATGAAAGTGTTAGGTGGTCTCGTAAATATTACCCAAAAGAAAAAAGCATTGACAAAATTTTTTATGACCGCTCCTGAACTATCACGAATAAAAACAGAAACAAAGAATATGTTAGAAATAACACAACATGATTCATCCAATCATCACCAGCTTACAACACCAAAGTCAAAACGTCAAATTAATGATATTCAGGTAGTTTACAGTGCAATTATAAATTCAACAGATCCATTTTTATACGATGGTTCTCACCTAATTAATATTAATTCCAAAGCAGTGTTTAGTGACGCCATACTAAAGGATGCAACAACAATGTCGACGGTAGGCGCCGAGCTGTATAATACTTTTAAAACTGAAAGAATTGAAAGTGGCAAAACAAATTTTTGGGATAAAATATCAAAAGTTAAGCTAAACTTATGCAAAACTGCTTGCAAGAAAGTACGAACAGTGATAGCTAATAAAATTGTCGATATAAAGTCGGATCGATCTTTGTTCACCCGCTTGCTAGTTGCATCAAGAAGTCGACCAGATATCAATCTTAAGCAGTCATTGGGTACTTATGAGTTTTCTGCTGTTCCGCGCTCAATGTTTGCATTAGATGGCTCACAGTTATTATGTACAAACAAAAGCAACCTGATGAAACTGTTAGAGCAAAAAGCTTGCAAAACTGATAAATGTGCAGAAGATTTAACACCGTCAGATCCAGATCAGAAAGATTGTACAACTGGAAAATCTTCAAATAAAACACCGTCAGATTCAGACAATTCTAAAAGATTTACTGTTGCAATTATTGATGGTATGGCAGAAGTACAGGCAATGAAGAAGCCACTGCACGTTAAAACATGTTATGACCTGGCTGTTGAATTTAATAAAAAGCTTGACCATATACTATCAAAGTATGATGAAACTCATTTGGTTTTTGACACTTACAAAGAGAAGTCCCTTAAATCTTTTGTTCGGGAGAAAAGAAATGGAAAATCACAAGCAGTTCAATTTAAAATCACAGATACAACCAATATTGGGAAAATATCACTAAAAGTATTGCTTTCTCATGTAAAAACAAAAGACGACTTAACAGAATACTTATCTAAAAAGGCAATACAGTTTACAAATGAAGGAAATAAGCGTTTGATCGTATCTTGGAGAGAAACAGCAATGTCCACAGAGGGTGAAGTAATAAATGATTTAAAAAATAACCATGAGGAAGCTGATACCAAAATAATTCTGCACGCCCTATTTGCTAGCCGGCGTGGTGCCACTCAACTGGATATTTACTCACCGGACACTGATGTCTTCATTATTTCCTTGTGGTGGTCTGAACATTTTCCAGAATATACGAATTTTGTAACAGGCATAGGACAAAAACGAAGAAATATCAACCTTTTTAAAATAAGAGAATCTCTGGGTTCCCAAAAAACTTCAGCCTTACTAGGTTTCCACGCTTTGTCTGGATGTGACACTACAGGAGCACTGGCACATAAAGCAAAAATCTCCTTTTGGAAAGCCTTTAATGCAGCAGATAACAAGGTTCTAGAAGCTCTTAATAAATTGGGAAGCTTGCAAAACTTTTCAAATGACGAGAGACTTTTAATAGAAAAGTTCATCTGTCAAGTTTATGTCCCTGGTACCCGTATTTCTGATATAGGAGAACTGAGATGGTGGATGTTTACAAAAAAAGAAACTCAGGGAGAAAACTTACCGCCTACTAGAGGTTCTCTAATACCATATATAAGTAGAGTTCGCTATCAGACCATGCAGTGGCAACATGCTGATCAGCCTTACCCGCATTTACCATCACCATTGGACTATGGATGGGAACTAGAGGAAGAAACCAATCACTACATCCCCATTATGTGTACATTGCCATGCGCTCCACAGGATGTCCTTCAAATAATTAGGTGCACCTGTATTAAAGGTAGATGTGCTCCACCATGCAAGTGTGCTTCCCACAATCTTAAATGCACTGAAATGTGCGTATGTGGAGGAGAGGAAGATGTCTGTGATAATCATGAAGAACTAATTATGAGTGAAGCAATAGCAGAAAATTCTGACGACGAATTATAAAAAAGTAACATTTAATCACTATTACCTAAACTATTTATATTTGTCAAATTAATTTGTCAGTCAATTGACTGTTTGTTTTTCGTTTTTTTTCATCAGTAGCAATTTTTAAGTGTAACCCAACGCTTGTATAAATAAATTATTCTTTTTTTATTGACTCCTCATTTAATGCAAATAATTGTTAAATATGTCAGTTTTAAAAGCCAATATTTTCTTAACCATTTGAGATAAAAAATGTTTTAAATCATTTTGTTCCTTTTTTATGGTTATTTTAAGAGATTATATAAATTTTTTTTAGGATCACTTATTTTTTTAGGGAAAATTACGAAATTATGCGACATTTTATAAACGCATACCTGAAATAACAGTTAGGTATCGGATTAATGACGTCATAAAAAATTGACACATTTTTAAACAAAACACCCGATAATACACTACTGCCTTGTGTATAAAAAATTGATTTTAGATAGTTTCATCTTCCCTTCATAAAAAATCCCACGGGATACACTATGCTCCAGAACTATATATAAAAACAACTTTATTTTAAAAGAATCACGTAATTTATTAAATGTTGAAAATTGTTCCGCTACACAGTAGCTTCTAGAATGTATTAAAACTAATTGTCAACAATAATTATCAAAATTTAATAAATTACGTGAAACTTTCAAAACATAGTTGTTTTTTATAAAAATATATATTTACATAGAGTTAAACAAAAATATTTATATGATACACAAGTAAAAAAAGGACAAATTAGAGCCAAATTATGAAGGTAAAAAAAAATTTTCAAACATTGACCTTCGATATTATTTAAATGGATGGTTTAGTGAAAAAGTTTCAAAACACCTTTATGGTAAAGCCTAAAATGTCATACAAAAATGTTTCTTTTATGAAATTTGGCAAGTTATGAATATTTATAATTCAGGACTCTTAAAAATCTGTTAAAAAATGACCATTTCTATAGATAAATGACCCTCTATGTAAGTGTTTCTACTCCCTCCTTTAAAACACCCTTTATCGTACATGTTTTCATGACAATAAGTGACCTTTTAAATACACATTGACAAGTTGTGGCTTTATGGCGCTTTAGTCACGGGCTGAAGTTAGCAACAGGTTTTTAGTCACGGGCTGAAGTTAGTTTTAAGTTGGTTGACAGTTGTCAAATGTCATAAAATCGTTAAAATAAAGTGCCTTTCTTGTAAAATAATACTAAATGTGAAAATTATTTTATTATCTCAATACAAAAATACAAAAGTAATAAATAGTTTTTCAACGCCAATATTTAAAAAGTTTATATGAACATTGTACTGTCCTTTTAATTTCGCCGGCAGTAAACTATAACTTAAATTCGAGCACGGACTCCACTGTAAAGTGCTAATAAAACATTTTCTTTACTTTCACTGTGAAAAACTGTTAATTTTCAAGAAATACATTTATAAAATTTAAAAATTTGGCATTTGACGGTGACACACAGATTCCCCTATTGTTTCATAGATGGCCGTCTATACAAATTTTTGATAAAAATAAGTATTTGTCATAGAAAAAGTATAGTATGCACCTCGTTTATAAACTTTTCTATAAACTCAATAATTTAAGCACTCACTCGCAAGCTCGCTCGTGCCTAAATTAAATTCGTGTATAAAATGGCGTTTATCAAACTTGATACATAATATACTATTATCATATACAGAGTGTTTACGCTCTTGTGATTTTATTTTTGAGGTGTTACTAGACACAATAGGTCGCGGAATATTTTAATTTATTCTATTTTAATTTTAGCTGTAAATGACGTATTTAAATTTGAATGTTGGATCATAGTTAAAAATTATCTTAAAAATTTATATACACGTTTTTCCTACGATAGACCGTTTCGAAGTTATATCACCCTTACGAATTTTCTCAATTATTTCTTAAAAAACCCCTGTGGAGCAAGTGCAATATGTATATATATATATGTATATATATATATATGTATATATATATATATGTATATATATATATATATATATATATATATATAAATATTATAGTATTCTAAAATACATTTATTATATAATTTTATAAAAATCTGACGAAATTGGCTTTAAACTGACAAATACCCAATCTTAATTCTCATTATATTCGTCTTTATTTAAATTTTAAAGTTTTTTTGTGTGTAGAGTACATGATATTATACATTTTGCTGTTGTATACAAAATTAGGTGCTGTCTTGCTAAAGCCTGCCCTGTATAATAAATTAACAATTATTGTACAATCACCTCATGTGAAGCTGTACCATACAATACAATTGCGAAGTATTAATCGAAATCGTTTCAAGTATAACAAAAAGCATTCTTCTCTATTATTGTCTATTTTATTATGTTGCGTCACGAACTAGTTCCATAGATAAAATAATAAACGAACACGAACCAAATCAACGACGTATAGGTAAAGGCTCGTACTGCTCCGACAATTGAATTATATTTATACTTTATCCAATATAGAAACATAAAAATAATATTATTCGCCTCAGGCAGGGCCGTCCTCACCCAGGGGTACAAGGTATGCGGCTAACACGGGCACTCTGCTAGGAGCGCCAAGTGTCGACAAAAAATTGTTATCACCAAGGACCGGATTTTAGGCAAAATACCTTTTTGTTTCTATTTTAGGCATATGTTTGGAACCTTGAAATTAATCCTAAACATAAAAAAATAAAGCGTTTGACACCCTTTTGTTTTTGCCTAAAAGCCCAAAATGGCGAAATTTTGATTTATTGTCCTAAAAGGACATTTTTATGAGCCTAAAATTTAAATTTTTCAGTAAAAAATATATTTTTCATTGCGGAAAAGTAAATTATTTTTAATTAGACCCTGCTTTCATGCTCTTATTTCGCCTAGACGCCCTTGGCGAGTACGAGGACCACAAATTACAAAACTAGTAAAAACCTAATAATAAAAGTAATTGTGTTTTTGCTCTTTTTGCTCTTGACACTCGAAGCGGTCGGTGCGTCGAGCTAGTTTCCTCCTAAGTAGCGTATACGATACAAACGTAAAGTACCAAAAACGAAACAAAGTATCCGGAAATTTCGGTAATCGTTAATAAATAAATAAATAAATAAACAAACAAGTGCAATAAGTGCAACAAGGGCGAAAATTGCGAGATAACGCCGTAAAAGTGTGCAAGTGAATAAGTAATTAAGGCTAGGCAACAAAGATAAGTCAACAGACACACCTGGATCAGAGCGTCTCAAAACCTGCAGGAGAAGGAACAAAGGACACCCCGCGAAAGACAAAGCATCAGGATTATAGCCTAATAATCAAGCTAAGTAATTTTTCTAATTGCATGTTTTACCGTATAATCGTTAAATGTTTATATAAGCATTTCACAATGTTGCCAAAAAAATCTAAGAATTCGTTTTATCTGTCATAAAAACTAAATTAAAAAAAAAAATAGAATATCCCTAATTGTTAAATAAACAACCTCATTTTCTCATAGTAGACAAATCATAAACAACCATTGAAAAAGGCGTAAGAGTAAATAAACTAAATCAAGCAAGAAGACAAAATTCCAAAAAAAAGTGTTGTGTTTGAATAAGTAATATTGTATATGCATTTAGGGTCACAGCCATAAATCAAACCAAAAGATGATAAGAACTCAATAGCCAATAACGTAAATAAACCATCTACTAAAGCATACGTTACACGCCTGACTAAGACCGTACTTCAAAAATTAATACGATACACCACAGGGCCGGCTCTATCTACTTCGTGAATTAATTTATTTTTAGGTTGGATTTGGAATAAAGTAAGAATGCAAAGATACAAAATAAATAATAATAAACGGTATAATCACTAATTTAACAACAAAATAAATAGCTCACCAACAAGGGCAGCGTACTGACACCCCGGCTCAAAAGAGAAGAACAGCACAAAAGAAAAGAAGAATGATCCTATCAATAGTCAATGCAGACCATTTGGTGGCATTCCACCACAAACACTACAGGGCCGGTTATC